ACCACCTTCAGCCGGTCCCAGGTGTGCTTGGCCCCCACCAGGTGCTCGGGCCCAAAGAGCCGAACCCGCCTGGGCCCCGTCCCCGCCCGGCTCTCGCTGGGGGACATCAGGGCTGAGGAGGGGAGCAGCACCTGCACAGGTGAGACAGGGACAGGGGAGACATCAGGGCTGAGGAGGGGAGCAGCACCTGCACAGGTGAGACAGGGGAGGGCAGGGAAGGGTCAGGGGTTACAGGTGAGGCTCAGGAGCCCCAGGTGAGGGTCAGGACAGACTCAGGACTCACCTGGAAGTCCCCCCCGGCCGAGGACCCCCCGAGCACTTCCACGAAAGCGGCTCCGTCATTCCCGATGTGCAGGGAGTTGATGGGGCGGGACCCCCCGAGCTGGGGGAGAGACCACGGTGAGACCCCTGGGAGACGCCCAGTCCCCCCCAGCACCACGCTGGGCTGCTTCTCAGTCCCTCCCAGTACCTCCCAGTCACCCCAGTGCCCCCAGTCACCTCCAGCACCACGCTGAGCTGTTTCTCCCCGGCCGCCGCCCCCCTCCATTTCCCCCCGCCGTCGGGGTCCAGCAGGTTCTGCGCCGGGTGCCGCTGCGGGGACACGCGGAGAGGGTCAGCGCGGGACCCCCAGAGCCTCCCCGGCCCCCCAAAGCCCCCCAGGCCCCACCGGGTCCTCGCTGGACACGGACACGACCCTCGTGAAGGGGATTTCGGGCATCGCCCCCTTCGCCGCCATTCACCGGAAACCGCCTCAAGGCTCCCTCATGGAGCCGCTCTGCGCCGCCCCCCCCACTCTATGGTAGCGGCACCGTATCGTGATTACTGCGCATGCGCTGGAGGACCCCCTGCCACCGGGGTCCTCCAAGGATGGGGGGGGTTTCCCGCCCTTTTTTTTCGCGCCGTTTTTTTTGCGCCCTTTGTTGAGGCGCGAAGCCGTGAGGGGAAAGGGGGGGAGGGACGACTGGGGAGGTAATTAAGGGATAAAAAAGGGGTTGGGGGTAATTAAGGGTCGAGCACTAATTAATTAAGATGCAAACAAGGCATTTTGGGGGTTTCCAGGGGTTTTATTGATGCCCTGACCCCTCTCCCACTCCATGCCAGTCCATCCCAGTGCTCCCAGTTCAGCCCAGTAACCGCCCGTACTCGGCCAGGGCTGACGATTTCTTCACCCCGTCCCAGATCCGGGCGGCGTAGTGGAACCTGCACAGGTACGGACCAGTATGGACCAGGACAGACCAGCACTGGTCAGACATGCCTTCCCAGTCCCAGTTGCCTCAGTCCCCCTCCCAGTCCCTCCCAGTTCATCCCAGGGCCTCCCAAACCTCCCTTCCAGCATCTCCCAATATTTTCCAGTGTCTCCCCAAACCCTTCCCAATCCTCTCCCAGTGCCCCCAGCCCTCTCCCAGTCCTTCCCAAACACCCCCCAGCCCCCCGGTCTGACCAGTTGCGCTCGGTGAGCAGGCTGTGGGATAACTGGGACCGCGCCGCCGCCAGGACTCTCCCCCGGAGCCGGGCCAGGAGCCCCCCGAGCCCCCCCCGGCCCCGGAACGGGGGCAGGGCTGGGAACAGGGCCCCCCCTCCGCCTGGGGGGACACACTGGGGTTACTGGGAGGGGTCTGGGGGGGTCCCTGGTCCATACTGGTCCGTACTGGTCCATACTGGTCCGTACCTGCCCGCGGGGGGGGGGTCGTCGCCCTCGTCCTCCAGAGGGGGCAGCAGGAACAGGTTCACCTCAGCCTCGGGGGGGCCTGGGGGGGCCCCCAAACCCCCCGGGAGCAGCTCCCGCATCGACAGGGACCCTGGGGGACCCCAAACCCCCCCAAAAACCACCTCAGAGACCCCCAATCCCCCCAAAACCACCTCAGGGACCCCAAAAACCTCCAAAATCCCCCCAGAAACCCCCCAGGGACCCCAAGAGTCCCCCTGGGACCCTCAAAAATCCCTAGGGACCCCCCAAACCCCTGCAAAAAGCCCCCACAGGACCCCTCAAAACCCTCCCAAAGCCCCTCTAAACCCCCCCAGACCACCCCAGGACCCCCAAATCCCCCCTACCCCGGTACTTGAGCCGTGAGTGGGCCATCAGTCGCCCCAAAACTTGCTGCATCTGCCCCAGCCGGCGGGGGGAGAAACAGTCGGGGGGGGCCCGAGTCTGCACAAACACTGGGGCAAAAAACGGGGGTTATGGGGCAAAAAATGGGGGTGGGAGGGGGATTGGGAAAAATGGGGTTGGAATTGGGGGTTGTGGGGCTGGAGAGGGGGTTTGGGGTGGCTGTGGGGCTGAGATCCGTGGGGCAGGATCTCTAGGGCAGGATCCATGGGGCAGGATCCATGGGGCAGGATCTCTGGGGTAGGATCTCTGGGGTAGGATCCATGGGGCAGGGTCCATGGGGGAGATCCATGGGGCAGATCCATGGGGCATGGTCCATGGGGCAGGATCCATGGGGCAGATCCATGGGGCAGGGTCCATGGGGGAGATCCATGGGGCTGGGATCCATGGGGCAGATCCATGGGGCAGGGTCCATGGGGCAGATCCGTGGGGCAGGATCCATGGGGGAGATCCATGGGGCAGGATCCATGGGGCAGGATCCATGGGGCAGATCCATGGGGCAGGGTCCATGGGGGAGATCCATGGGGCTGGGATCCATGGGGCATGGTCCATGGGGCAGATCCATGGGGCAGATCTGTGGGACTCACCCAGGTGTGGGTAATACTCCGAGGGCTCCTCGGCCCCGGCCCCGCTCGAGTCGTGGCTCGGGGAGGGCGTCGGGGGCTTCACCATCTCGGCCGTTTGCAGGAACCTGGGGGCAAACGGGGCAGTTTGGGGGCGTTTGGGGACAGTTTGGGGACAGTTATCGGGCAGGTTTTAGGTCAGGTTTGAGGTGGGTTTTGGGTGGGTTTTGGGTCCCCACCTGTAGAGCCCCAGGTCAGTGAACCAATCCTGCACCAGCAGCACCACGTGGCACACGGTGAACAGGAAGGCAGCGATCTGCAGCGACTGGTGAATATTCATGAGCACAATTAGCATACCCGCCCCTCATTAGCATCCCCGGCCCCTCCCACCCCCGTGTCCCCGCCCCCTCACCTGTGTCTCCACGTAGGCGTGGGGCAGCGCGAACTCCGGGGGCAACTTCCGGTCATTATTGATCAGGTGGTCCAGGTGGGCGGGGCTAAGGATGGGCTGGAGGCGGGGCCAAGAGGGGTGGGGTCAGTGGGAGAGACCACGCCCCCATATGGTAATGAGGGGCAGGGGAAAGGAGGGGAGTGAACTGGGGGAATTACGGTAATGGGGGTAATTATGGTAAACGGGTAATTACAATAACTGGGGTAATTATGGTAATCGGTAGTAAATACTGTTAATTAGCGCTAATTACCTGGGTGTCCAGGAACAGCACCCGCTCCTGGGTGACGAACAGGTCGATGCCCCCGGTCTGGGCCCCGCCCCGTTCCCGCAGCTCGGGGGGCTGCGGCCGGAACACGAACGACCTGGGGGGCAAACCAGTGAGACCCTCCCAGTGCATCCCAGTGCATCCCAGTGCCCCCCCCCGAGCCCCGAACCCCCCCCCCGGCCCCCCCCGGGCCCCCCCAGGAGCCCAGAACCCCCTCCCAGTCCCTCCCAGTCCCTCCCAGTGCCCCCCCAGGAGCCCATAACGCCCTCCCAGCCCCTCCCAGTGCCCCCAGTACCGCGGGTCCTCCTCGGGCTGGTTCCCGGCCAGCAGTGACAGCACCGTGGACTTGCCCGTCCCCTGCAGCCCCAGGGCCCCGACCACGAGCACGTCCGTCTGCTCCATGAGGAACTGGGAGCACTGGGAGTCACTGGGAGGGGTCTGGGACACCCCCAAACCCCTCCCCACCCGCTCCCGGACCCCCCGTCCCCCCCCACCTCGAGGGCGCTGTCGCACCAGTTCATCTGCTCGTCCACCAGTTTGATACTGGTTTTCATCTTCTCGGGCGCCGCCAGCCGGGCCTGGGCCTGGGCCGCTGGGAGGGGGCGGGGCCAGACAGGTGGGGCCACACCCACTGGGGTCACACCCCCTTTGGGGGGACACACCCCCAATCCCAAACCCCTCCCCCTCCCTTTATCCGAACTCCCCACATTCCAAGGTTTTAGCCCCGCCCACTTGAGTCTGACCCTGCCCACAAACGATGACCACGCCCATCACCATTACCTGCGCCCACAAACCCTTAAACCCCGCCCCCTCCCTCTGTCCAACCCCCCTGAGCTCAGTCCCCTCCCTTGGCTCCACCCACAACCCTAAACCACGCCCACACTTAGCCACACCCACCACCTTTAACCACACCCCTCCAGCCCCACCCCCTTAGCCCCACCCAGTACCCCAAGCCACGCTCAAAAACATTTAGCCACACCCACAACCTTTAACTCCTCCCCTCCTACCCCACCCACCCCTTAGCCCTGCCCCCAAACCACGGCCCCTCCCACAACTGACCCCGCCCCTTCATTTACATACTGCAACCCCTCCCACAACTGACCCCACCCCTTCATTTACATACTGCGACCCCTCCCTCGTTGACCCCGCCCCTCATTGACACACCTCAGCCCCTCCCCCTTTAGCCCCTCCCCCTTTTGAGCCCCCACTCACGGTCGGGTGCCCCCGGGGGGGGGAGGCCCCTCCCGTGCAGTTGGTACATGGGTTGGGTGGGGCGGGGCCCCTCCCTCTCGGGGGGCGGGGGCTGCACCGGCCCCTCCCCCTGCGAGGCCCCACCCCCTGGGAGGCCCCGCCCCTCTTCACCCCGCGCCTTCATCAGTACGATGGGCGGGGCCGGTGCAGGAGGGGGCGGGGCCTGCAATGGTCCTGCCTTCTGGGTGGGCGGAGCCTGCTGGGGACACGCCCACCCAAAAATGATGACATCAGAGCGTGTAACTCCCAGTCCTTCTCAATTCCCTCCCATTGCCCCCATATAAGGTCATAATGCCCTCCCAGTCCCTCCCAGTGCCCCCCAGTCCCTCCCAGTGCCCCCCACTCACCCGTTCTCCGGGGGGCTTCGCCAGGATGATCGGGGTCTTCTGGGGGGGTCCTGGGGGCTCCTCCCCCACCTCCTGGGGGGGGGGAAACGGGGTCAGCAGGGTCATGCCCTTGGCTCAGGCCACACCCACCGCGAGCTAACCACGCCCACATCGCTATAACACCGCCCACAAAGCTCCAGACAGGCCCCGCCCAAAGAACGAGGCCACGCCCTGTCCCACCCTGCACCTGCCAATCATCCCAAGCCCCGCCCACCCGTCTCTCGGCCCCGCCTCCTTCCGGCTCCTTCTCGCGGTTCCAGCAGCGCCTGCGCGCGGCGGGGGCGGGGCTTTGCCCCGAGTCCGACATCCGGGAACCCGCGGGGTGTCTGAGGGGGCTCTGGGTGCGCCCGGGAGGTCCCGGGGGGTCCCGGATCCCGTCGGGGGGGTCCCCAAAGGTGCCGGGGGGTCTCTGTTCCCCCACGGGGGTCCCGGAGCTTTTCCCGCCTCTCGCCGGGTCCCGGCTCCGGCGCGGGGAGGCGTGGCCAAGCGAAGGGAGACTGCGCATGCGCCGATAGGGGACGTGTCTATGATTGACGCCCAGCGGAGGGGGCGTGGCCAGCAAAAGCCACACCCTCGCAGGATTTAAAGGGCCAGGTGCCCTTTTTTTTCCGGGGGGTGCTCCCCGCACCACCTGATGCGATTTTTCGCCCCCTCCCCCCCAAATATCCCCTTTTGTCGTCGTCCCCCCCTCCCCAAAAATAAACGGCAGGGCACCCTCGTTGTGGTTTTTATTAACGGCGAAATAACCAGTAATTAATTAATTAACAGCTCGGGAAAGGGGGGGAAGGGGAGGGGGGGCCGAAGGGAGACGGGGGGGGGGGGGGGGGGCGCCGGAAGGAGTGGGGGGGACGCGGGGGGGGGGGGGGGGGGGGGGGGGCCAGGCCAAGGCCAGCACTGGGGGAGGGAAGGGGGGAGACAGGGAGGTCACAGGGCGACCTCGGTGTCCCCAAGTGTCACCAGAGCCCACCCCGAGACCCCCACAGTGCTCCCAAACACCCCCAATGTCGCTCCTGTGTGTCCCCCCCAAAAGTGTCCCTTATGTCCCCCAATGTCCCCAACAGCCCCTGTGTGCCCCCAGGTGTGTCCCCCCAAGGTGCTCCCCATCCCCCCAAGTGTCCCATGTCCCCTCCGTGACCCCTCCTGTGTCCCATGTCCCCCTGCATCCCCCCAGGTGTGTCCCATGTACCCCCAGGTGTCCCCAGGTGTGTCCCATGTACCCCCAGGTGTCCCCAGGTATGTCCCACGTCCCCCCAAGTGTCCCCCAGGTGTCCCTCACCTGTCAGTGCCTCCTGTGCGAAATACTTGACGTCGACGTCCTGGTCCTGCGTCAACTTCTCCAGCACCGGCTTCACCTCCGTCTGCAGCGTCCTGGGACAGGTGGGACACGTGTGTACAGGTGTGTTCAGGTATGCTGAGGTGCTACAGGTGCACACAGGTGTGTACAGGTGTGTACAGGTGTGCCCAGGTGCCCTTACCCGCTGTCCAGGATGGGCCCGATGCGCTGCAGCGACTTGGCCACGTTGAACCTCACGTTGGCCACGGCGTCGGCCGCCATGCGCAGCACCGTGGGCAGCATCTGCTGCGTGGTCACCTCCTGCCCACACACCTCGGACAGCACCTGGGGGACAGGTGAGACACGCCTGAGACACCTGGGACACACCTGGGACACGCCCACAGAGCCCCGAACCCGCCCCCCCAGCATCTGCTGTGCGGTCACCTCCTGCCCACACAACCCGCCCAGGTGTGCCCAGGTGCCCCCCAGACCCCCTCAGATGCCCCCCAATGCCCCTCAGGTGTGCCCAGGTGCCCCCCAGATGCCCCCCAGTCCCCCTCAGGTGTGCCCAGGTGTCCCCCAGGTGCCCCCAGCCCCCCCAGGTGT